TGGGAGCAGGTCAGGACAGGATGGCATACTGGTTAGATTTATGGGTCCTCTTGAGTCAACTTTCCTGCTCGTGACGTTGTTTTGGATCAACTGAAAGAAGTGGGTGGAAATAGTAAAAAATTAAAGACGCTTCTACCAAGAGAACTTTTCTGAAGTGCTTGATAAGATTGGTCATGCTCACTCTCTTTTCTTTTTGAATACACTTTCTCCTGCTTCTTCTTCTTCCCCCAGAGGCCACGATGGCTTGCTCCCCAATTTCTTGTAGGTCTCTGTCTCCATATTACTTTTCTAGAGAGGCCTTTTACGACTGGTCACCCTTTATAAAATAGCAACACCCCAGTACTCTCTGTCTCCCTAACTTACTTCATTTTTTCCTCATAGCACTTATCAACAGCAGGTCTATATTTGTATGTTCATTTCTCTTCCACAAGTTTTGGATCAAGTAAGCTTCATGAGGATAGTAACTTTGCTTACCTTGTTTACTGTTATAACCTCAGCACTTAGTACAGTGTCTGGCACATAATAGGTGCTCAGTCAATATCTATTAAATCAATGAATAAAAGAGAAAAGCAAAAAAATAAAGATCATGAACTTTTTGCTAAGATAACATGACAATAAAAAATCTAAGTGATATCTGGATAAGGGTAAGAAAATTCCAACAATATAGAAAGGAACAGAGGGAAAATAAAGGATTCTCTCCCGCTACCCTCATCTGTATTCTTAAAGGTAACCACAGTTATATGATTTTTCAATTTCATTAACCAGTAAGTATATTGGGTGCATTCTATGTGTACAGGAAAGTGTTTGAGGTGCTGAGAAGCTTATGAATGCAGAATCTTTACCTTCCAGGATCTCACAGTCTTTCTTGGGGGCGAACATAAAGGAGTCTTATGGTGCTGAAGAGTCCAGATGTGGGAGCCATCACTGTGGGCTGGCAAGATTAGGAAAGGTTTCTTGCATGAGAAATGACTTGATGGGGGTTTGGAGTTTGGTCGGATTTTAGTAAGAGAGGTATGGGGCTCTCTCAGCAGAAGCGTCTAGCTTGGGTAATGAAAGGGGCCATCCAGAGAATGGCTAGACTTGGAGCCTGGCTGATGTCGAGCATTTGTATCCGGGAGAAGTGAGAGAAAAGACTGGAGAATAGGGGCTTGGACAGTTAGAGGAGTTCGGGAAGAGCCAGGAAGCATGTGATAATGAGTCAGAATAGGACTGTGACTGGAAGAGATGCATTTTATAGACATTGCAGTAGTACAATTATTAGGACTGTGTAATTGAATGGCTATGTTGGGGTGAGGATTAGGGAAGACTGAAATATGACACTCATGTTTTTCAGCCTGGGTAACGAGGAAAATAGTAATAACATTGCCCAAAATAGGGAGGTTAGGAGGAAAAACTGTTTTGAGATGTGGTGTGGTGGTGGGAATTGATAAGATGACTCTGGCTAGATAATTGTTCAGCCTTTCCTTGGATGTGGGGACTGCCTTTCACTTCCTTAGCATTACCTGCAGAAGCTAGAGAGAACTAAATACTGCATATAATAGGCGCTAAATGGATGTTATTAGTAGAGATCACTAATAGCCACCTTGGATGGCAAACCCTGGCCCTCCTTCCAGATGTTAAGTTCAGAGGGTTCTCTGGATCCCCATCTCTTTTCAGCTCAGACTTATGGATATCTCTAGGCATAATCTTACCTACCAGTCTCTACCAACTGCTAGCACATCCATGGAGAATCCAACTTCCTTGCTTCTTTATTTACTTCAGGCTCTCCTAGGATGATCAGCTATCCCAGTTTGCTCTGGGCTTGCCAATTTTAGCACCAAAAGTCAGGAATGCCAGGAAATCTCTCAGTTCCAGACAAATTGGGGTGGATTTCTGCTCTCCCAGCTTCGGAATACCTCTGCTGAACCCACCAGCTGGACAGTTACAGTCTTTTCATGTTCTCAATCTAGATTGCTCTTCTCTTTGGTTGGTCTTACACTGCTGTTTTGCTCCAGCTTCCTTCTGGATGCTGATAACTGAGCTCCGAGTGTAGCCCCAACTGTCTCATTTCACAGTCATCTGAAGAAGACAGCAAGTCCATGCTGCATGCTAGTTCACCACATTGCAGTGGCTACTTCAAACCTACAACTAAGCAACCTGAGATTCCTAGGAGCAGATAAAACCCATCTGCAATCTGTCACTGTTTATTTTTCAATGCCAAGATAATTCTACAAAGTTAATGAATAGCTGGGTTGGAGTGGGGGAGGGGGCACAGATAGAATGAGGAGAAACTGTCATTGATGGACATCCTCTGTACTGCTTCTTGGCAGGACACTGGTTACATGGTGAGTCACGGAGGGTACAGCTGTCATCATCATTATAATGCCTCTATGAAGTGCCTTATGTCTGACATTCTGAGCCAGGCCTACACAGGGAAGTACACAGCTCTGGACCTTCACTTTTAGAACATCATGGTCCAAAACCAGATATTGATGTGGACACATGCAAAATGGATTCAGATCCTCCATATGGGTTAAATCACACATTGTATGTCAACCAGCATCTCTTCTACTGGTTTCTAGATGTCTCTGGAGTGAAATCTATCAAGCAAATATATCTTGTCTCCTCAATTATATTATTAGCTCCTTGAGGGTAGGAGACCCACCCATACACTTGTGTTTACAGACATCAGCTCTACAGGACAAATACAGATGCTCAGTGAGGGCTGACTAAATCAACCTGACCTGATGGGTGCAGGCGGAGTGCTTTTCCGGCCAATGAATTTCTCTGAGCCTCAGTTTCTTTCTCTATAAAATGGAGAAGGTAATTGTATCTCCTTCTTGGGGTGGTTGTGAGGACGGAGAGACAATACATGTAAATTGCTTAGCACATAAACTAGCATCCTTTACCATATGATCTACTCAATTGTTAGCTATTTAATACTAACTTCTGCCCCTGCTCAACTAGGAGAGAGACTATGGAAAGAGTGAGTGTAGCAGCTCTCACACAAATCTGTGGGATTCAGCCTACAGAAGCAGACTGGTCAGTTGCCTATGTGTTGGGATTTGACGGACATCAAAAGATTTACTCTTTCACCTGTCTGCCTCACTTTTCTGCTGTAACTCCCGAACAGGGATGCTTTGAAGGGGATATCCGTAAGCACCACTTGGGGCTTCTGACTAGGAGCGAGGGCTGAACTAAAGTCGCCACATCAGGCACCTGTTGAGTCTTCATTCAGCAACCATTTACAGCTAACTCAATCAGTGTCAGGCATCGTCCAGTAGGTGAAGGTCCGTTACATACCCTTGCCTCACTTCAGAGAGGAGCCGGGAGACACCACAGAACAGCTCTCTTTGTAAGAGTGAAACTCACGGAGCCGGAAAGCCGCTCCCGCGCTAGTGCGCAGGCGCCAAGCCGGCGCGGCCCGAGGTCTTCCGGAGCAAGCTCATCAAGTCCAATGGGCGCGCAGCGCCGGCGCCGCGCATGCGTCTTGCAGCCTCGTCCGGAAGCTGAGGAGTTGGTAGCGGCCGTTAACCCGCTAAGATGAAGTAAGGCGTCAGTTTTCCTCTGAGGAACGGGGAGCGGGCAACCGAGAGTGGCTCACTGGGGCTGGGATGGCAGAGCGTCTGCGGGGGCGACGGGCGGGGGAGGCGCGGAGACGAGAACAGCTAGGCCTGTAGTTTTGCTCTCCCTCAGCTCAGGGCGGGCCGCACTCACTTGTCCGCTTTTCCTCCTTCTCCCCCGCCCCCGTGCAGCCCTTTAACTAAGGTGAAGCTGATCAACGAGCTGAATGAGCGAGAGGTCCAGCTTGGGGTGGCTGATAAGGTGTCCTGGCACTCCGAGTACAAGGACAGCGCCTGGATCTTCCTGGGTGAGGTCCACATCTTTCTCCCGTAACGCTCTCCTCATTCTCTCCTGGCCTGCTTCTCACCATTCCCGCCCTGCACTCCCCTGCACATTCATTGTCCACTTTCATCTCCATGTGCTGTCTGCCGGTGAATCCGTGTTCCATACCTCTCTTCTCCCCATTTTCTAGTTTGCTCTCCCTGCCAAATCAGAGCTCACGAGAGTTACTGTTTGCCATTTTAGCGTGCTAAGGCTCAGAGACCATTGTTTTCCCTCTCTCTCTCTCTCTCTCTCTCTCTCTCACACACACACACACACACACACACACACACACACACACACACGGACCCATTATACGGCTGAGGAAACTGAGGTGGAGAGAAGTTAAGGGGATTCCTTAAGGTCTCACATAGATAGTAAGTGCAACAGCCAGAAATGTAGGATTCTAGAACTCATGATCTTAGCCACTACCGGATATCACTACTAACCTCCTTCCCCCATTCAATTCCCTCAGAATTCACTTTCCTTCTCTCATTAGCTCCTGCTTTCTGTCCATGACCATATTACCATCCCTGTGTTTACTTTGTGTCACAATGAGCAGTTCTACACTTTGACTCTTCAAAGAGGTTATTGTACCAGTCATTGTGCTCAGCACTTAACATATATTGCTTTATTTAATTCTGAAAACAATCCTGTGATGTAAGTACTAGTATCCCGATTTTACACATGAGTAAAGAAACATTTGGAGGAGAAATTATTCCCTATGACATGTTTAACAGTGTCTTCATAATCCTTAGTCTATACATAGATGGGGTTAATACTGACATATTTAAACCCCTTTTGTGTCACAGCAGTTTGTGGCTAATGAGCAGATGAATTCAAGGTATATTTTTGGAAGCAGAATTTTGTGATGGAAATTTCTGCTTTGTCTATAGGATTTTGGATGTGAGGAAGACTGACTGATCAGATTAGTTTGGTTAGTGGTGTCCCCCTAACCTTTCCACTCAAAAAGTTAATCGTTTTTCTGTGCTACTGGCACTTCTGTCGTTGCATCAGACTGTGATTTCCCTGTGGCTCATTCTTTGCACTTCCAGTGTCTGGTCTAGTGCATGGTACCTAGTAGATGCTTGCTAAATGTTTGTTGAACTGAAATGTGATTTTGTCTTCTAGGAGGGCTTCCTTATGAACTGACTGAAGGAGACATCATCTGTGTTTTCTCACAGTAAGTCCTCTTTTATTTCCTGCCTTCTGAGTCAACAGAGTAGTGGCGTCATAAAAACCATTTATTTGAATTCTATGCCGAATGGTATGGCTACATGGGGAGGGTTGGAGCTTCTGCTCTAGGCTAGGTCATTCCCAGGGCATGGTTCTAGAAAACTCCCATGTGGAAGATCCCAGAATTTGGATAATTTGGAAAGGGTATCTTAGGAATTCTGGTCTATTTGTATTGTTTTTTCACTGAGACTTGTTCAGCTTGGGCCTATACTGGAACAGACTGGAGGAACTCTCAGGAAGGTACTATGCTGGCCCACCTCCTTGGGCTTCTGCAAACTGGGGGTAACCCATGATCACAGGACATTTTTAGGCCCTCATGTGTGTGGCAATGTAGGAATGGGGCAAAGCACAGAGGAACTGTGGGGAAAAACAGAAGGTTTAGGTGGTAGTTTGCTTTCTCTGTTTCTAAAGGAGTATAAGGTTAGTGAACAGAGTCATTCTCTTTACCCAGAGGCTGAGAATCACAGACTGATGAGGAATAAGAATGATTAGGAGACCTGTATATTCTTTATTTTTGCTATGGGATTATAGTAGTGGCGCTTGGTGGGAGAGGATGTTGGCGGCTCACATTGGTAGTAGCAGCTGGTAGGAGAAAGGCTGGGCAGCTGATACAACCCCAGAGCTAAACAGGGTGGTTAGACAGTGCACAGGCTAAGAGGACCATGGCAGCTTACAGGAGCAGGGGGCCACTACTTTTGGGTTTTGTAGCCCTCAGGAGCACAGGACTATTTCAGAGAAGTTGGACAGCATGTACAGGCAGGGGACCATGGCCAAAGGGGCTAGCCAAGTAAACACAGGTAGCATACCCTGGAGAGGGATTGCAGTGGCAGGATGGTTGGCCTATCCGTAGGCAGATGGCCCTGGCTGAGTGGTTGGGCAGCTTACGGGGCAGAAGGCCATAGGAAAGGAATTGGGCAATACACAGGATACACGGTATAAGAGAGCTGTGGCAGAGGGCCCTGGCAGGGACAAAGGCTGGGACTGTCAGAAAGTTCACAGAAGGTGCAGCCTATAATTTCCATCCCTTTGTGATACCTCTACCTGATCTAGCCTTCCATCTTGGAGCTGTTTTAGTTTTACTTGCATTGAGTGATGATCAGTTAGTGTGTATGTGTTCATTTTCATTTTCTATTCTGGCTACACACATTGCTCCCCATGAAGATTGCCTTTGTCATGGATAACAGTGGATTTTGAAAAAATGATTTCTTTTCTGAATATGAAGGTAATGTACAGTCATTATAGAACATTTGGCAAAAGAATATACTAAGCAAAAAAAAAATAGAAAATGCTCTGAAGGAAAGACTTAACAGTTTGGTATATTTCTTTATTATTGTCTTTTTTAAAATGTTGGGTATTATTTCCAGTGGTTTGCTATTATAAGTTATACTGCAGTGTACATTATATTGTATGAATACTTGTATGCATCCTTGATGGTTTCCTTAGAGAAAAAGGAATATGGATCAGTGTGTTAGCATTCTTAATATGTTTTGTAATCGTTGCCAAATTGCTCTCTGGAAAGGTTGTACTCATTTCTTTTCACTAGAAAGTCTGTTTTTCTGAATCCTGATGAACAATGATTATTTAAAAAAAAATGCTCAAAATCCCGGAGGCTGGAAAAAAAATATTTGCCAAGTAAGTTTCTTATCGTTATTTTACTTTGCCTTTATTTAATCCTCAGTAAG